ACTTCGATAAGAATAAAAGTAAACGAGCAGTTCGATGGGTTATTATTGGTATATTTTTAATTAGTATCCTTAGTATTCTACATGATCCAATAAATCGTCGACTTATTCATGATGAAGAAGAACAAAGACGATGGTGTTTAGTTCAATATTCATCTTTTCTTCAAACATATAATTCAATTATAAATATAGTTCATTTTGTTATTCCATTTTTGATAAATATTTTAACATCGATAATTATTATTGTTGTTACTGCTCGAAAAAGCTTTAAAGCTCGAAAAGAAGAAAATTATCGTATTCACTTAAAAAAACAACTTCTTACACATAAGCATTTACTTATTAGTTCATTTATTTTAATTTTACTTGCTACGCCTCGTTTAATAATTTCATTTACATCTGGTTGTATGAAATCAGCTCGTGATCCATCATTGTATCTTGCTGGTTACTATATATCATTTGTTTCACCATCTCTTACATTTATTGTATTTGCTTTACCTTCAACTACATACAGAAACGAATTTCTTATGATGACTAGAAGACTTCGAACAAGTGTTCTGCGAACATTACATATAAACTAATTTACATTTCTTCTTGATCATTTTAAAAGAAATATTGATTGTGTTGAAAAGAATTCTTTTTGTTTTCTTTAAGTACTTCTTCGTTTAAATTTAAAAATAAAATTAATCCAATACAAAATACGAAATACTTGTCAATGCTATATGATTTTTCGTAACAAGAACGATAACGTTCATTATAAAAGAAAAAAGATTGTTTTTCAAATAAATATATTAATAATACAAGACGGTAATAACAATTGTTAAGATAATAATCTTTTTGTTAAAAAGTCGAAAATTATCCTTGAAAAATCTAACATATAACATGTTTGCTTTGGTTTTTATTGAATGCATGTAAACAAAGTAGAATTGAATAGAAAACAACCATAGACAGTGTTTTATCCAGTGGGGGGCGGGGAGGCATGGGGCATTTTGTTCCCCCCCCCCCCCCCCCCCCCGGAGACTGCGTTTGCCCCCTCGAGAAAAATGAAATAAGTTTTAAAAAAATCAATATAATTGTTCCAAAACTATTTTTTATGGCAGATTTTGGGAATTGTTAATAAATCTAATGTTATTAAAATAGAATCAGTATTTTATCTAGCGTGGGAACAGGATGGGCCATACTCTCCCGGAGATTGTGTTGGCTTCCTTCGGAATAATTTGAAATATCTTTTAGAAAGAAAAAAAGATCAATACAGATTTTCTACAACTTTTCGTTCGATGAAAATTTGTACGAAATGTCATGTGACCAAAAACGAACAAAATCATTTACTGTAATAGAAAAATATCACATACAATATTGCAATGAAAAACAAATACCGAAAAACGTAGTATTCTCCATAAATGATGACTCTCAATAATTATAGTTCGTTGTTTTTGGTATATCTCTACTAGTCTAGAGTTTTAACCAGTTGTAATGGTGGCGAGCAGTACCTATTATCGATTAATTAAAAGGGCTCTATAAAGGACTGTTATGTGACTAAAAATCTATTGTCATAGCTGCAACTGCTGTAGTTTTAATAGGCTTAAGTCACTTATAATTCGCTATATGCGTGTTTTATTCAGCACCGATTTAGGAGAAAGACCTACATGCCATAACAATTGCGATTCAACTCATATCGTACGAACCGATCGAAAATCGTCGGTTAATACCGGTTACTTTTGTGACCGACAGTTAATCGTGATTATTTCCTTTGCTCTCAATGTTTCACAGTGTAACAAAATGACGGTTAACCACGGTTAACCTTCCGGTTGACCGAAGAAATATCAGTCAGAACTATTAACTTTTTCGGTCAACCAGAAGGTCCGCCGTGGTTAACCGTTGGTTTTTACACTGTGAAACCTCCAGAACAAAGGAAATAACCGCGGTTAACCGTGGGTCACAATAATAACCACAATTAACGGATGATTTTCGATCGGTTCGTATGACACGGAAACCTCGTGTACACTATTATTGTGTCATTAGAGATCCTAAGAAATACATACATGATTTATTATTTACAGTTGCTGAGCGAAAAGAATGAAACTAGTATTTTTCTTGTTTATTCTTTGATTTATGTTTGATCTCCATTAGAAAATCAGTGTCATTCTATACTATAATGTATTTCTATTTCTGGGCAGAATTTTTCAAAAAAAAGTTCTGGACTACTGTTCACATCCATATTTTTTTCAACATTTTTTCGTTGAATTTTTTCCGGTGAAACACGTATTTTGGTGAATATAATTCAATGATAATGCTTTAGGAATTTGAATCAGCGTCGAACTTTCTCGTTGTACATCACTAGTTCGAAATTTTTCAACGGTGTAAGAATTTTCTGTTTAAAAGTTGAGAAGAGGAACATTTCCATCGTTACTGCCTATTTTATCTTTCGAAAAATATCAAGATAAGAAAATCGCCTCAAAAAACTTCCAACTGCGAAAACTTTCGCTTGCCCCCTCGAAAACTAAATTCGCCCTCCCGGAGCAAAACACCTGGATAAAACACTGATCATAGAATAGATCTCTATGGATTTGATAAACATGGAACTATAAGTCTAGTAAAGATTTTAAATGAAATAGATTTTGTGATGAGTTATTTGAAGTAGTATTTTAAGAACAAATGTTTGACATCTATTATCCTTCGAAATGAAAATGTATATATACTACTTGACAAAAGTGTTACACCTCGAACCTTAACAACTATACGAGCTGAAGCGCTGAATATAGAAGTTTATATGACTCTCACTAGATGTTGATCACAGATGAAATCTGTGTCCAGCAAGAGACAATAAGACCCATCGATGGAGAAATCGTTTCCATTTAAGAAAAAATTTCTATGAACACTCGATCTCTCCTTTCTTATAATACGTTACTACTTACCAAAACCAAAACATCTTATTCGTCTTAAGAATGAAAAAATTTCATTTAGTTGTTCATACACTATCGATAGGTGTTATGCTATTCTGCTAGAAAATTTTCCATCTCTTCTATATGTTGTTGTGTTTTCATGTGTAAAAGTTTGTCTACTTGACTTTTTGTGGGTTTAACGGTTTTTGCCGAAATGGGAACGATTTCAACATTTGGGACAGTTTCGTCTAGCACTCATTTCACCCTTTGCAAAGCTTTTGTGAATTTGCTAATACAACCATTTCTAACAGTTTGAAACGATTCTATTCGAATAAATACGTTAGCACATTCATTGGTGCTTCTTCCGATGAACACGAAACTCCAAATAGTAATTGATTAGTCCACGACTATGTATCAATAATGAACAACATATTTTTCAATATTGCTCCAAATGTTTCGGCGCACAAACCAAGCGAATGGTTTACTTGAGGATGTGGCTATGTGTATCATCTTCACACGCAGTACATGCTCACTCACACTCACTATTTAGAATTTACTAAAAGTTCGTCATTATGCTTTTACATATTGTTATAGAGAATGTTGGAATTTTCAAATGACAACAATAATTTCATTATCTCTCGGAAGTTTTTCAATGTGTAGCATTGAATTTTCATTGAAACAAATGTTTCAATTGTTTGATTATGCACCTCACCTCCCTTATCTATTGGTATTATCGACGAAGACTTTGTGGGTGTGGGGTGTGGTTGTGGTTGTGGGTATCGGTCTGGGTGTGAGTGTTCGTTTCACCCATACCCACACCTATACCCTCAGCCACCCACACCCACCCATACCCGCACATCCACATCTCAATAATCTAGTTGTGAATGGTGATGCGGAAGAATATATGAGTTAAAATTTTCTGATAGAATAAAAACCGATTGTAGTGAGAGATACCTATTGAAATAAAGGATGTCCCAAAAGTTTCGACCCCTCTCAATAAATCGACGATATCTGTAAGATACCTGCATCGAAGTAGCTGATCAATATACAGTGGCCGCCAAAATTATCCGACCATGTAACAGAAAAATTTTGTTCGTTTTATATTTCAGAGAAGGAAATGCATATAGACTTAAATCAAGTGTTTTGCCTATTCAAGCAACAAATTCAGTTGTTTCTCGCTTGTTAGAGATCCTATTGTTCGTTTTTGATTCAATCGAACAATCCGACAAAAATGGCAATAACATCATCAGAATGATCGTCTCTTACTAACAGTACTATTTATCAGATGGGTGTGGATGTAGATATGGGTATGAGTAGTGGTGTTGCTATGGTTTACAGGAATATTAATATCTACACCCACACCCTCAATACTTTTTGATCATTTGAGAACTAGTAAACCTGTATCTCGTAACTATTTAAGTTACTCTATTCCTACCAAACATCAGTAGATATACGGATGCACCGTTAGGATAAAATAAAAATAGTTAGGTGATATAGTCGTAACTAACTTAAATATAATCGTAAAGTATTGAGCTGTCTCTTTACCCTGTAGAATTCGTTTAATTACGAAATAAAACATATGGAAACACGTTTAAAATATGAAACAAAAAGAAATTCATAAAACCTGTACATTTTAACGTCTTATGAAGATGTTAAGCCATCCGACACATGAAAAACACACTAAAAAATTATAACGTATATGTAATGCATTAAAATATGAGGTTTTTACGATTTGGAAAGCGTTTATTTTTGATCCGCTTTTACGTATTTTTGTGTTGTGAATTTTTGTCTGACTGGGTAGATCATTCTCAATTTTCTACTAGGAGTGATTTGTACTATTGGTTTTGAAAGTTATATCTGCCGATGTGTTACTCCAATATCTGCAAATCTCGTGAACTTTATTGTCGTCTATAGTGCATCGGTCGATTCTGAAAAAATCGCATATCACGCTGAGGATAAGATTTATTCTCATCTTTATCTTTATTTTTGAATGTGTAATGATTAGATTAGTAATTTTATTTCTTTTTTTTTAGTTAGTAATGAAAATAAATTTTCAACCGACAAAACATTAGTGAAAATGTCGTCCTATAATGTTAGTATACGGAAACGCAGTGTGTAGACGAGTTAGAGTCGCGCATATTTTACTATTTTATTGTCATAAAGAGCCACATATAAGTTGAAATCCGAGTCAAATGCGACGTCCATTGGTTTGATGGGCGCGGGTGTAGTGCCACTTTCTCCAACCACAGGAATACCAATGCGTGAATTAGCACAATACAAAACTACTCTATTATTTCCACTATCAGCAACATACAAATTATAATCTGAGTCTGTAGTGATTCCGTGCGGTCCTGTTAGAGTACCAATAGTAGTACTATTAACTTGATTAAGAGTTATATTCGCAGTTGATGCACCGGCTTCCCACAAATATACACGATTGTTTCTTTCATCGCTTAAATAAAACTCATTTTTTGAGTTAGAGGCAAATTGAATTCCAACAATCATATTACTATTCAGATTACTAATGACAACAATCCCGGTTGTCGAATTCTGTGGCCATTTCATTAATCGTTTATTGTTTGAATCAACGACGTAAAGATTTAAATAATCATCGAGAAGCATATCAGTTGGTGTATCAAGCTGATTATATGCTGATCCTGAACTACTAGTCCCAGCAACTACTGTAGCAACAAATGTAATGGGAGAAATTCGTAAAACAGTATCATACACGTGTCCAGTAATATACAAATATCCATCTCTGTCCATAACTAGATATTGAGGGTCACCAATATCGCTCGCACCAGTGGCTGCGCTAGTACCAGCTACTGTACTCCCATTTGTTGCATTCAGAAGCCATTTCTGAATACGATGGTTATGATGATCACATACATAAAGTGTTTTGTTTGCATCGATAACTAAACACTCAGTAGTCGCAAACTGATTAGAAGTCGAACCGCTTGCGCCCGTGCCTGCAACTACAACACCTGTTTGATTCCATAGATAATGAGAACCTAAAACGATATTTTATATTGAATGCCTGAATTCGTTTTGGTGTAAAATAACTAACATGCATCCTTTCCAGTAGTAGTCGTCGTAGCTAAAATGATAGGATGGTCAAATTTCTACAATGTACGTAATTGAACTCTGAAACTTACATGTAGTAATACTTGCAGACGTTGAAGTGGATGTAGACATGGTCGTTGTTGTTGTTGTTACTGTAGTCGTTGATGTTGAAGTCGATGTAGTTTTTGTAGTGGTTGTTGTTGTAGTTGTAGTAGTCGTTGACGTTGAAGTTGACGTAGTTGTTACAGTTGTAGTAGTTGTTGTTGTTGCTGTTGATGTAGTTGTTGTATTTTAGTAGTAGTAGTTGACGTTGAAGTCGTCGTAGTAGTTGTGGTCGCTGTAATATTCGTAGTAGATGTTATTATAAAAAATTTTATGGTAGTATTTTTTTAAGTCCTTATTTCTACTTACAAGCACTCGTAGTCGAACTTGAAGAAGTTGTCATTGTTTCTGATTGTAAAGCTAAGGAGTAACAAAATGCTCAGTTAGTTTCTCAACGAGAGCGATATTAATAGAAACATACAAACGAAAACTTCCTTTTCGAGAAGATCATAATAGAACAAAAGCTTGTTAGCGCAGCCTCTTTGGGACTGAAATGTGGAACTCACATATATCCTCTAGCCTCACTAAACGAATACAAAATACCTAAAATAAAAAATCTCTTGTAGACTATAGTTGTTGTGCATGACAATCGAACATAGGAGTAAAGACCTCTCGAATTTCTGCATTTTGAACAGAAATCTTTTATTTTTTTCGTCGGGCGCCTTATGTTTTTCTTTTGCATTGTTGCTATTCGCTCATTATTTTTCTTTTTTTTTTATTCGTTTTTGTTAATTTAACATTCTTATTATTATAATCATTGAATTAATTGACAAATAAGTCTGTTTTACACATACATGATACCTACAGCAGATCTTAGGCACTATTATATATATTAATCAACTTACAAACAATGATATTCATTATTTTTCACAATTATAACTTGATCAATTTTGCGAAAAACTCTGGAAAGCCTGGCGCCTCTTATTCTCGATTCTTAAAGTTTGTAATGGGGGTCTGGGTTGCTATGGTCTATAATGGTGGGGCCTAGGGGGGAAGGTGGGGGGAGCCGCAAAACCTCGATTTAAAATTTACACTCACTATTTTCTTCGAAAATATATGTGAGTTCCAAAAAATAATATTAATGAAATTCGAAGATTTCGAATTGAAATGCTTTTCTTAAATATAAGCATTGTACTTCTAGTAGGTTCAATAATGACTATTGTGTTCTCGCTGGTATGCAAAGATACAAAATTATTATTTTCCATTGTCCATAGAATGACCATTTAATGTTTCTCAGAGAAAAACTTCAGCAAGACATTTCTGTGTAGAAAAGCTTACGTAGAATATTTGTATGAATTGCAGGTATATATGTGAGTTGAGGACCAGATTTGAGTGAATGTGTGAGAGTTGACGGTAAGTATATTTGGA